TCAAACCTCTATTGCTCTTGTAGAATTCGATTCTAAGGAAATATGAAATCTCACCCAAGTCATACATTTCGAATTCCTTGTTGAGCTCACCTTTGAAGTCTTCGATCTCACTTCTACAGCTACCTGTTATCAACAAATCATCTACATAGAGACATAGTATAAGCAATTCACTCTTGCTTCTTCTTACATATACTCCATGTTCAGTTGTGCACTTCACAAATTCCTTCTCCCTTAGGAAACTATCAATTTTCTTATTCCAAGCCCTTGGAGCTTGTTTCAATCCATACAAGGCTTTATGCAGCCTGTACACCTTTCTTTCTTCGTCATGTTTCACAAACCCAACTGGTTGTTTAACATAGACTTCTTCATATAAGGGTCCATTTAGGAATGCACACTTCACGTCCATCTGACATATGTGCCAATTGTTTATTTTTGCTAGACCAACAACCAACCTGATTGTTTCGATCCTAGCAACAGGTGCAAAAACTTCATCGAAGTTTATTCCTTCTTTCTGTAGAAATTCTTTCGCCACAAACCTTGCTTTGTGTCGAGTTACTTCACATTTCGAATTCGTTTTCACTTTGTATACCCACTTGACATCAATTGCCTTCTTGCCTTGAGGCAATTCGACAAGTGATCAAGTGTTGTTGTCTTCGATAGACTTCACTTCTTCGTTTATTGCTTTCACTCACTTCGAATCCTTCAATGCTTCAGCTGCATTAACAGGTTCGACATCTGCATAGAAAGCATAATGTACCAGCTCACCTTCATTATCTATTACATCATCTGATGTAATCACACAATCTTGCAATCTTGCAGGCATGCGTCTTGTTCTTTGAGGTCTGCTTGTACTTGGTATATTTGTTGGTTCCTCTTGTCGAACTTCTCTTTTGACTTGAGTTTCTGGCTCTTCAAGTAGGACTCTCACTGAATCTTTCTTGACATTTTCAGTAAAATCCCATTCTTTAAACTCATATATGATCACGTCCCTGCTGATCACAATCTGCTTTTTCACTGGATCGAACAACTTGTAGTCTCCTGTCGAATGATATCCAACTAAAATCATTTGACTTGACTTGTCATAAAGTTTTCTTCTCAACTGATCTGGCACATGCCTATGTGCAATAGATCCAAATACCTTCAGATGACTCAATCTAGGCTTCACACCAGACCAATATTCTTCTGGAGTAATTCCTTCTAGCTTCTTCGTGGGACATCTGGTCAAAATGTTTGTTGCAGTCGAAACAACTTCACCCCAAAACTCTTTAGGTAAATTCTTGCCTTTCAACATACTTCTCACCATATTCATGATGGTTCGATTCTTCCTTTCTGCAATTCCATTTTGTTGTGGAGTATAGGGTGGCACCACCTCATGCACAATCCCTTCCTTTTCACATAGCCTGTCGAAGTCTTTCGACACATATTCTCCACCACTATCAGTTCTCAAAACTTTAAGCTTTCGACCACTTTGTCTTTCGACCATAGACTTAAACTTGGCAAATACTTAGATCACTTCACTTTTCTTCTTGATCAGATAAGTCCACAGCTTTCAACTGAAATCATCTATGAATGTAACAAAGTATTTTTTTACCTCCCATCGAATCCACCTGGATTGGTCCACCTGCATCAGAGTATATGACTTCAAGACTAGCCTTCGACCTGCTTTCTGCATCCTTGCTAAAGCTATTCTTGTGTTTCTTCGCCTGCACACATTCCTCACATACCTCGTTTGGAATGTCGATTTCTGGCAATCCTGAAACCATATTTCTTCTCTTCAAATCTCTGATGTCTCTGAAGTTAAGATGGCCTAGTCTATAATGCCATATCCATTTATGTCTGCTAGCTATAGTCAAAAGGCACTTGTGCTTCATCACATTTAGTTCAATCTTGAAAGTTAGATTCTGAGACATAGGAGCCTTCAAGATTAATCTACCATTTGCATCAACGAATCTCATCATCTTATCTTTGATTGACACTTTATAATTCTTTTCGACCAACTGCCCTATACTGAGCAAATTTCTCTTCATGCCTGGTATGTACAACACATTGGAAATTATTGACCTCTTGCCATATTTTCTCATAATCATAACATCACCAATACCTTCAGCTTCTAGGGTATTGTCATTTGCAAATTTTATCATATTTTTCATTGAGGGCTTTATATTGACAAACCAGTCTTTCCTTCCAGACATATGTGATGAACATCTTGAGTCCAAGTACCATTGGTCCTTGAATCTATCTTCATCTCTTGTTGTAACCATCAACATCATCTCTTCTTCTTCATGTTTTACAAGCTTTGCATCACTTTCTTGATTCTTTGGTTTTTCTGGACAATCACTCGAATAGTGACCATACTTCTGACAATTGTAACATTGAATCTGACTCTTATCAAGTTTTCGACCACCACCTCTTCCTCTATTTGCAACACCACCTCTTTGGTTGCCTCGGTATAGCCTTCTTTGATTCGACACATTTCCTTCGATCTGGTTTCCTCTACCATTCGATTTGTTGTAGCCACCTCTACCTCTGTCAAAACACTTTCCTTTGCCTTTGGTTTCTTTTGTTGAATGTGCCTGCAAGGCCACATCACTCTTTGATTTGCCTGCAGCTCTTTCATTCATTCTTTGTTCATGAGATTCAAGCGTCCTTTGAAGCTCTTCCTTTGTCAATTTCGACAAGTCTTTCCTCTCTTCTATCGCCACCACTATGTGGTCGAACTTAGGAGCTAAAGATCTCAAGATCTTCGAAACAACAACTCTTGTTGTTAACGCTTCTCCACATATCTTGATTTGATTTACTAGTTTTGTAACTCTAGTGAAGAAATCAGATATGCTTTCACTGCCTTCTATCTAAAGCAGTTCATACGTCCTTTTGTGAGTTTGTAACCTCACTTCTTTCACCTTCTCAGCGCCTCCAAAAGACTTCTCAAGGATCTCCCAAGCTTCTTTTGCAGATTCTGAATCACTAACCTTTTTGAAGTTGTCTGGGCTGACACATTGATGAATTATAAATAATGCTTTATAACTCAGCTTCTCAGATTCTGTGTATTTCTTCTTTTCTTCTTCTGAAGCATTTTCTCCAAGCTCTTCGACTCCATCTTTTACAAGACCCCAAAGACCTTGACACCTGAATAAGACTTTCATCTGTTTGCACCAATTCTCATAGTTGTCAACTTTCAGAATTGGTAACGTTGTTGGATAGTTTGCATTCCCATAACTTGTCATCGTGAATTCTTCAATCGTTCTTGATTAATACTTCCCTCGAATCGAAACAAAGCTCTTGATACCAGATGTTAGAAATCTACCAAAAGACTATGATGAATTTCTACCACAATGACGATTTGTTATGAGAAAAACAAAGAAAATAAGACAAGACAAATAATTTCTGCAGAATTTCTCTCTACTCACAAACTGTGAAAACTTTATTATTCATTTTGCAACTGCAAAATACTGTGAATGACTTGCTTGACTTACTTACAAAAATAGGGGTTCTTCCCTCTATTTATAACTGAGTTTATACCCTAAGCTCAAAGCCCAAAAATATCTATTTTGTTACTAAATCAAATCTAATCTATTCTAGACTTAAATCAAATCTATTTAAATCTAAAACAAATCAAATCTTTTCGACACATAATTTCGACACACTGAATTACAATTTAACATCAATATCTTATAATTAAATCTGGAATAAATTATTTTAAACCTTCAATTAAATTATCCAATTATGTCTAAATTGTATCTAAATTTTAGATAGCGTTATTTACATAAATTTTTATAATCTATATATATATATATATATATATATATATATATATATATATATATATATATATATATATATATATATATATATATATATATATATATATATATATATATATATATATATATATATATATATATATATATATATATTCTAAGTTGTTATTACTTGAATATTATATTAGGTTCTCATAGGTATTCTAAATTATTAGTTATAGGAGATATATAAATATAGTAGTTTTTATATAAGGACTCAATTCCGTGTTTTAAATATGACACATTTAGTTTGAAATTTTAATGTTGTAAGTTGGATTGAGTATCTATAATATTATATTTTTGTTTTCAGAATAAATAAAAAAATTCAACAAAATACAATATATTTGAACTACTAATTTATTAGATTGGTATTTTTTATTTATGTGTATACTATATTTTCGATCGTGTATACTATTAGATTCGTATTTTCGACCGTCTAAAAAAACAAAATTAAATACCTATTGAAAAAATTAAATACCATACAAAATTAATGTATCAAATTAGTATGGGATAAATAAAACAAAACAATAAATTTGTCCTAGTAGGAGAAAATAAAAATTAAAAATAAATAAATTTAAAAATTTAAAAAAATTAAAAAATAAAATAAAAAAATTAAAAATTTAAAAAATTATATATAAAAAAATTAAAATAAAAAATTAAAATAATCGAATTTTCATATTAAATTTAAAAAAATTTTAAAAAAAATAACGACAAACGTCACGTATATTAATTCTGCTGAAATCTTAACCCAATATCAAATTTAAAAAAATTTTGTTTTGTTAATAAATAAAAAAATATTTTTTTTTAAAAAGAAATTAAAACTTATTATACAAAATAAAATACATTTAACCCCTTTATGATATAACTTTCATTAAAAAAAAGCATCAAAACAAAATTGTTTCGATAAGATAAAGAAAAAGAAAAAAAGCATCAAAACAGAATTGTTTCGATAAGATAAAGAAAAAGAATAGTTGTTGGATTTTCATACTTATCCATCAGAGTAGGACCCACGTAAACATTATGCAACAAGACAAGTTCATCTTAACCACTTTCATTCACCATGGGGTAGGTGTTAGTATCTAAATATCTATGTGTCTATATAACCATATAAATATCACAACAATGAATGATCCTGCTTCCATTTTTTATCTCTCAATCAAAATTCAATAAGTTTATTTTGTGAAACTTTGAAGAATCAAAAAAATGTTGGCAATTTTTCACAAAGCTTTTGCTCATCCACCAGAAGAGCTGAATAGTCCAGCATCATACAAAGGTTCAAAGAAACCTAAGCTTCCTGAAGAAACTCTGAGAGAGTTTCTCTCTCATCATCCTCATAACACCTGTTCCATGAGTTTTGGTGAAGCTTCTGTTCTTGCTTATGTTAGACCCGACAACCCTTTTTCTGTTCATCAAAGGTTAATCGTTCATGTTTTTTTACTGTCTTTCATTTTTGTTGGTAATTGTTTGTGACTCATTTTGAAACATGTGATGTTATTTTTGCAGGTTGTTTTGTGGTGTTGATGACATATACTGTTTATTTCTGGGGAGTTTGAACAATTTGTCAGTACTAAACAAACAATACGGTTTGTCAAAGGGTACTGATGAAGCCATGTTTGTGATTGAAGCTTATAAGACACTTCGTGACCGTGGTCCATATCCAGCAGATCAAGTTGTTAAGGAACTTGATGGTAGTTTTGCTTTTGTTGTTTATGACAGCAAAATCGGCACTGTCTTTGCTGCACTGGTATGTTTGTTGATCTCTATTCTACCATGTTCCTTTGTTAACAATTATTCATAATCAATGATGTTTTTTTTTTGTAGGGTTCTGATGGTGGAGTGAAGCTGTATTGGGGTATTGCAGCTGATGGATCTGTTGTGATTTCTGATGATCTAGATGTTGTAAAAGAAGGCTGTGCTAAATCTTTTGCTCCTTTTCCAACAGGTATGCAAATACGACACAAACATTGATACATAGGAATCATCATCACAAGTGTCAGTGTTGATTTCCGACACAGACACAGAAACACTTTTTCTCAGAGGTGTCGATGCTATCGACAAAACTATTCAAGTTTATGAAGAGTTGGTGATTTTATATTGAATTGAATATTGCAGGGTGTATGTTTCATAGTGAAGGAGGGTTAATGAGTTTTGAGCATCCAATGAACAAGTTGAAAGCAATGCCAAGGATAGACAGTGAAGGAGTGATGTGTGGGGCCAACTTTAAGGTTGATAAATTCTCAAGAGTCAACAGTATTCCTAGAGTTGGTAGTCAATCCAATTGGATGGAATGGGAACAACATTAAGTTTAATTTCTAAATATAAAAAACTTTATGGTTTTAATGTAAAATAAAAATGTACCTTACTTCTTCATCAATGTTCCTTTCCTATGTTCCTTACTACGTTCCTTTCCTAGTTTGATTTAGATCCGATATAAATGTAAAATATTAAATGTTATAAATAGTTTTACAGCCAATTCTAATGACTTATTTTGTGTCATTTTTTAGTGTAATCTTAAGTAAAATTTAAAATTTTCAAAAAATTATGATAAGGTTTATTATTAGTAAAAAAAGGAAATAACTAATATAATGAGCAAGTTGTTGAACGTAACAAAGAGACATTACAACTCATGATCCAACATCTTAGACTATCATTATAATTTAAATTATATAAAATCAATATCAAATAGACTATTAATCAAAATCAAAATCATAATTAATATTAGTTACTTTTAAGTTTTTCAAAAGTCAAATTCTTGTATTTTAATTTTAAATATTTTAGATAAAGCAATATTATTAAATGTTCACTTTATAACTCATTATTATTATTTTTTAACAAATATTATCCTGTTGAATATTGGTGGTCTATTTAATCTAATGATAAAAAAGGTGACTGTGTATGGGATTGATCAGGCTAAGGCCTTTTGGTTTTCGATTCCGTTGCCTGTAACTTTGCATGTATGTGTTGAATTATAATTGCAAAATATTTCGTTCTCACGTTTCACAGCATTGTAAAATTATAGCAAGTAGTCGAATTATCGCGTTGCTTCTAAAATAAAACAATTTAGTTTTATATTGTATGATTATTATTTTTACGGTAGATAATTGGTCTAAAATGATACTAAGATCATTCAAATATAATATAAATATCATTGTCTGGTGTAACCGTCAGTCATAATAATTTCTCCAATCAAGAGAAATTTCAATAATTTTGTAAAGAAAGTTAAATAATGGTCATTTCACCATTTAAAATAATTTCTCAAACAAAGAGAAATTCAAATAATTCTCTAAAGAGAATCCAAAAATTATACTTGATAATTTCTCAACTCAAATGAGGAGAAATTAATATAATTCTCTAAAGAGAATTTAAGAAAGTACTCATAAACTTCAACGAATAGAAAAAAAGGGGAAGAAGTTGGTGCTTCGATAATTCGAAAGACGCAGAGTTATGAGAGTGAGGAAAGAAAAATTAATAAATAATTTTTGGTATGTTTTGGAATGAAATATGGAATATCCTTATATAATGAAGTGAGTTAGTTAATATTTTTCACCTAAGCAATGTGAGACTAAGGGATTTTTTCAACCACAAAAATAAAATTCTAACAATGTGGAACTTAATGTTTTTTTAAATTCAACATATTAGAACATAAATATGTTCCAAGAATCCCCCATTTGAATTTTAAAAAAGTGATTTTCGAAGTAACGTCAAACATTTTTAAGATTGTGTATAAATAAAGGTGTCTACGACTTGAACCTTTATGTAGCAAGTAGAATTCTGATTCAACAAGAGTGACACAAATATCTTGAACTCTATCTCAGATATCAAATATGCACACATCCTTTTCTTAAAGTGAATTCTAATAGTCTATGCTTTAATGACCTTGCACGTGTATTCCAGTTTAGTGAATGTTCTAGGAATTCTGCCTCGAAACTCCATAGGAATCGACCTAAGTTCCACAATTACATATGTGAGTCTATCAAAAGTACTCATGTAGTCTAGGTACTCCCTCATACAGAGTATAGATCTCGTTAAGAGTTTCTATTATTTCATCCTCTTATTACTTCAGGATTCATGTTTTTCTTATTCACATTAGCACGATCACCTCATATTACTCACGACTTGTTATTACCAATTGAACCTATTTCTTGTAATCTTCATTCATTTAGGTCTGATTACCATCATGAGCAACTCATTTCTCTACAGGCATTTGTCCAATTTTTTCTATTTATGTATTATGGACTTTCTCTTTAGCTAATCGTTTCGTCAAAGGATCTGCTAAATTTTCATCAATATGTACACGATCCACTCTTACATCTCCTTTAGAGATACAATCTCTAATAGTGTTTTGCTTTCCTCTAATTTGACGTCTTTTAACATTATAATAATGACTCAATTTTTGCAATAGCCGCAGTATTGTTGCAAAAGATCAACACAACTGACATTGGATTTTTCCCATAAAGGGATCTCAGCTAGCAAGCATCTTAACCAACTTGCATCTTCACTAATATTCGCTAATGATATCATCTCATATTCCATCATGGACTGAGCTAGGGTAGTTTGTTTCTTTGATTTCCAAGATACAACTCTTCTAGCTATATTCAAAACATAACCACTAGTTGCTTTAGAATCATCTGATAAGGTATTCCAATCTGCATCATTGTATCCTTCAAGTACAACAGGAAATTTCTGATAATGCAAACCAAAATTCACTGTCTTTTTAAGGTACTGCATGACTCGTTTAACAGCTTGACAATGCTCATTACTCTATCTACTAGTAAAAGTGCACAATAATCCTACGACATATGCAATATCGGGTCTAGTACAATCAGTGGCCCACCTAAGACTTCCAATTATGCTCGCATATTCTGCCTGTCTAACACTTTCACCAGTGTTCTTAAACAGTTTCATGCTTGGATAATATGGTGTGCTTGTAGGTTTACAATCAAAGTAATTATATTTCTTTAAGATCATTTCCACATAATATGATTGATCCAAAGAAATTCCTTTCTCAGATTTCGTGATCTTGATACCAAAAATCACACTCGCTTCTTCGAGATCTTTCATATGAAAATTGTTGCATAACAATGATTTCATATCATTGACGGGCTGAATGTTTGATCCAAATATGAGTAGATCGTCTACATAAAGACATATAATAGTGTAAATTTGATTCTCAGATTTGTAATAAACGCATTTGTCACTTTCATTCACTTTGTACCCATTCAATATCATTAAATTATCAAACTTTTTGTACCATTACTTAGAAGTGTATTTTAGTCCATACAGAGACTTGTCTAACTTACATGCCTTGTTTTCTTGTCCATGGATCACAAACTCTTCTGGTTGTTCCATATAGATTTCTTCTTCTAAGTCACCTTTTAAAAAAATCTATTTTAGCACCCATTTGGTGTACCACTAAGTTATAAATAGCTGATATTGAAATCAGTATCCTAATGGATGTAATTCAAATGTCTAGTGAAAAAGTATCGGAAAAATCTATATTTTCTCTTTGTCTAAAATCCTTGGTTACAGGGCGAGCCTTGTATTTATCAATAGTTATATCAGGTTTTAGTTTCTTTTTCAAAACCCATTTGCAAATTATTGGTTTGCAACCAGGAGGCAAGTCTATTAAGTGTCAGGTCTTGTTAGATTCTAGAGATTCTATCACATTATTAATAGTTTCTTGCCATAAATCTGCATCCAGAGATGGCAATGCTTCTTTAAGATTTATTAGATCTTCTTCTACACTATAAGCCCATATTTTTTAGTAACTCTTACTCTTTTACTTTGTCGAAATTATGTTTCTACTTCGTTGTTGCTTTCAATGCTTCTTATCACAAGAATGTGATTCGATTTAGTTCCCCCACTATTTATCGATTTGAAAGGAAATTTATCTTCATAGAATTCAACATCATTTTATTCTATGATCACTTTAACATTTAGGTTATAAAACCTATATGCCTTTTTGTTTGTTGCATACCCAATGAATACATATTCATATACTCTCATAGGGAGTTTAACTTGCTTCGGATCCAGAATTCTTACATAAGTCAGACAACCCCAAGTTCTTAAATAAGAAAAAAATTATTTTCTTTCCTTTAATATTTAATAAATAGAGATCTTACTTTTTTACTTGGAAACTCGATTCAGAACATAGCAAACAGTCAATAAAATTTCCCCCACCAGTGAGGTGCATCACTAGAATCAAACATAATTGCAACAAGTTTAATAAGAGTTCTATTTTTTCTTTCTGCTTTACCATTCATTTTAGGAGAGTATGGCACAATCATTTCGTGTACAATTCCATGTTTTTTATGAAGTTCATTAAATAAACTAGAATCATACAATTTCCCTATCACTACAAACTCTTACCAAATCATTTTCAAGTTCTTTACAAAGTTTTTAAACATATCAATTTCATTCACAAACATATCATTCTTTCTGATGGTGCTCCCTATGCATACACAATGATATATAACACATAATCATCTTTTGTCGGGGTTCCACCTAGGCGAGGTTTGATAACATCAAATTAGGTTTTTGTGTAACAGAGAATATTGGGTTGAGAATTGTGGGGGGTTTCATCCGGAAAAACCTAGGGTTTATCCTCCAAGATCTTTGGTAGATTTGGGGGCTTTGTTAAAGACTTTCAAAAGAGGATTGCAGTCAAGTGAAAGCCTTCAGAGTTTGGTACCCAAGGAAGTAGCGATAGAACGGAGAATCAAATTTAAAGTGCTTGTGTTCAATAGTTACAATTGATCGTGCGCGAAAGAGATTTGGAGTTTGGTACCAAAAGGAGTAGTAAGATTCGATAAATTAGTTGGTAGTTGTTGTGTCTCGGTCTTGTTGAATATCAAAATAAGAGAAGGGTTTGAATAAACAACAAACGATTAGGGTTTATATGTTTCTCTTGGAACACTTCTCATGTAATCAACTTTTTGCAAAGTAAGAAATTCATCTCAATTCCAAAATGGAATTAGGAGGGAGATATAGCCGTATCGAGGATGATTTGTGAACTTCCTAAAAAAATCTCTCTCTCTCTCTCTCTCTCTCTCTCTCTCTCTCTCTCTCTCTCTCTCTCTCTCTCTCTCTCTCTCTCTCTCTCTCTCTCTCTCTCTCTCTCTCTCTCTCTCTCTCTCTCTCTCTCTCTCTCTCACACACACACACACACACACACACACACACACACCCACACACACCCACACTCTATCTCTTACTCTCATTTACTTTCTATATGCAATTTGTTGAATGTGTTGTTTAATCGATCGATTTGTATAAAAAATTTCTTTTATTTTTAAAGTTTAAA